CTTTAATACTCTCTTTACAGTGACTTTTCTGTGTGTCTAATCATTAAAATGCTTCTTTACATTGCATGGTTTGCAATATGTCTGCGCATCTTTTTGCTGAAAATGTTTTGGTGCCAGGCACCCCCATGCCACATCAAATATAAAAACAAATATGATGGATTGAGTGGAAACCATGCTTTTAAAATTGTATTTTAAAATTTTACATTTTAATCCTTTTTATGAATTAATTATCTTTAAACTAAGTTATGATAGAGGGCTCACAATTGAATATTCTATTTTATTTTATTGTTTTAATGCACCTTGCAACATCCCCCCCTCCCCCCGGCCTTTTTTTCAACCCGTGAAGATACTGTTGACAATTGGCATTCCAAACGTTTAAATTACATGAAGAGTGTGGCTAGTGAGACATTTAAGCTACTATATCCATAATTATATAAGCTACTATATCCATACTTATAGTCCACTTAATTGAAAGTCTGTATACGAATGCATTATTCAGCGAGACATTTAAGCTACTATATCCATACTTATAGTCCACTCAATTGAAAGTCCGTGTAAGAATGTTTTACCTGCTGTCTTTTCATTTTTTAAACGGATACACCGATGTCTGAAGATTGTTTAATTAAAGACTTATGAAAATTATTCAGTAATTTAGTATGCTTTGATATACGAAATTGTATTTTTATTTGAACGAGGCTTAATTCAAGCCAACATTCCGCCTAATACTCAGACAAATTTCCTCACTTTAAACATGTTTATAAGAAGATGACTGCTAGATGGGGGGAAGGGCAGAGGCGACTGGTGGAATATGGAGGGTGGGACTTTTTTCTTTGGGGGTGTGGGGAGTGAGCTGGGGGTTTGACCATAACCCACTAGAGTACAAGGCCTTAAGCACAGGTTTGTGACGTCACAGTTCTCGTAGGTCGTGGTTTGACCGTGACGGCTAGGGAGATCTATTTTAGTTTAAACTGGGGGAGGGGGTGGGGGGGGGGGGAGAGGGCAGGACAATGTTTCAAAAGCGGATAGGGATCAAACAGCTTACAGTTGGCGAACCTTTGGGCGGTATTGGGTGTAAGTTTTTTCATCTCACGAT